CCGCCCCGCCCCGCCCCCGCCGCGCCGCGGGCGGGACGCACCCTGGGAAGTGTAGGCGCAGCACCCCCGCCGCTCTGCCTTTGCGGCCCAGCCGCCGAATGGACAGACTACAAGTCCCGGCAGGCCGCGCGCCCCGCGCACGCGCAGGCAGGAGACGCCGCTGCGGCCTTCCGCAGCCGCCGGCAGGTCTCTGCGGGGTTGTTTTCGGGGCCTGGCTGGCGTCCTGGCTGGCGCCGGCTCTCGATAACCCGGAATGGTGCGGAGGGATGCCCAGCGGCAGAAACTTGGAGCAGCTCTTCTTGAGTCGTGGAGCTGCAAGGGGCCCGAAGACCTCTGGGCCAACCCACCACCTTCCCTAGTTTGCAGACAGGGAAACTGAGGCTGGGCGGGGCGCGGGCTGGGATTCCGGCGCCGCTCCAGGTCTAGAACAGCGCACCGCCGGCTTCCGGAGCGGTGCACTGGCTGGCGCCCGAGGAGGGAGGTGCGTCCTACCCCTTGGCAGTCCGGGGCCCCAGCCCCTCGCTGTCACCGACTGCCCTCTGTGACGTCAGGCGCCTAACACAGAGTGGGGTCCTGTACAGGAGAGGGAAAGAGTAGGGGTGGGTGTCAGGAAATCAGGGGGAGCAGGCGGAACCCGCCTGGTAGTGACAAAAGGGGACTTTGGGGTGCAGGCTGGACTGGGGGAGCATTCAGGAGGCAGAGTCAGAACCTGGCACTGCGGGGAGAGGTGGCAGGAGGACATTTGGCTTGGGCCAAGGCTTTTGGGAGATGGTAACGAGAGGAGGGCTGACCGCTGGAAATGTGGACTCTAAATGGAAAAAGGATGCAGGAGCAGATACTCTAATCTGGTCCTCAGCAGCATCCATCTACCCCAGACAGGGGCCCCAGGAACAGCCCAAGTCCCGCAGAATCAGCCATAGGCCAGGCCAGTCAGTCCCGGCCCCACACACTCTAGCCTGTTGCGGTGGCTGGGCCTGCAGCTGCAAGCTGTAATCCCTGCCCACTGGGGCCTTTTCCCCAGAACACAAGTGCACTGTGATGGAAGGAGCACTAGAAAGGATCAGATGGCTTCTTCCTGACCCAGCTTCCCCTCTCAGTGCGACCTTGAGCAAGACCCCTCCCTTATGTGGGCATCAGGACCACTGAAGCTGAGTGAAGGAGCCACCGTTGGCTGAGAGCATTATATTTGCCTTGTCGGTCTTGGCTAGGGCAGCTGCAGGCCAGCAGGGCTGGAGGCCCCGAGGGGCCTGACCACCTGGTGGGGAGCCTGGCTTCACCTGCTGGTGCAAGGTGCCAAACTCTGCCTCAGTGTTCATCCTCCAACTAGACAGAGTTCTCACCTTTTAGGGTGGTTGTGAGGATTACACTGGCTAATGCACGCCATGCGCTGCTCGGAGTGGAGATCAATAAACAAGTTTGACCTTATCCTGCCTTCAGTATTTCGATTTTCGGCCTCGCACACAGCCTGGTCAGGGTGGGCGCTCCACAAATACCTGTTGAATGAAGGGGGAGAAGGACGGAGAGAGGGTGGGAGGGCGCCTGCCCCCACTCACCCTCCGCAGGGAGCTCTCTGCCAAGCCCCGCAGTCCTGCTTCCTCCCCGGCAGAAGCGTCAGCATCCTCCCTGCGCCCCCGCCATGTCTCCAAAAGTTCCTAATAGCCTCCTGGAAGCATATGATTTCCTCCACAGAGCATGGTCAGGATGGCAGGGAGGTCACCGTCGCACCAACTGGCCGTGGGAAAAACCAAGGTGTGGACGGGCACTTAGTCCCGAGTACCCGTGAGTCAGAGGGTGGATGTGGGTGGCCCGGTGCTGGCTGGTCCCAGAGCTCAGCCTGCTGTGTGGCCGCCAGGCCTCCCCATGGAGCTGGCCTCGTCTCTCAGAGCAGCCACTGTTAAAACAGCGGTGACGGGGGAGTCCCAGCGGTTCTCAGCCTGGAAGGATCTCAGGGTCATGTGATTCTGGCACATTCTTTCACGAGAGCAGAACCTAAGGCGCAGGGAGTTCCTGCTCAGAGGCACCCAGCAAATTAGCAGTAAGGGAGGGGCTTGACTTAGGTCCCGTAGCTGTGCCACCACCGACCCTCTGCCCTCACTCAGCGGGTCCCTGAGCAAGGGGGGGCTCTCACGGGGGCAGGCCTGCTCACGTGTCCTCGCCTCCCGCACGCACAGCGCCCGCTGACACTGGTTGACCCACACTTTGCTTCTCATCCCTGGTGCTCTGAACCAGGTGTGACCTCGGGCAATTTGCTTGCTCTCTCTCTGCTTCATTTTCCTTATCCTTCAAAGCACAATCTCAACCCCAGTAGGACTTGTTAAAGGATAACGGAGTAATAGAAGTGCCTGGCAAAAAGTCATAAATGATGGTCATTATCAGTACTGTTATTAAAACAGACTGGGGAGAAGTGGGTTCCATCACTTCCCCCAGAGACTGTTTTCTTTTCTCATGTGTGTTTCTTACATCCATCCATCCGTCCGTCCATCATCCGTCTGTCCGTCTATCCGTTCACATTTTTTAAAAGATTTTATTTATTCATTTGAAACAGAGAGAGAGTGAGAGCATGAGGAGCAGGGGAGAGGCAGAGGGAGAAGGAGAAGGAGGCTCCCCGCTGAGCCAGGAGCCCGATACCAAACTCGATCCCAGGACACAGAGACCATGACCTGAGCCGAAGGCAGACACTTTACCATCTGAGCCACCCAGGTGCTCCTGTCCATCCACATTTATTGGACACCTTTAGTGTACTGGGCACTGTTCTAGTGAAGAAAACAAGAATTTGTTTCTCAAGTCATGTGATTCACTGTAGAAAATGCTGCCACCTGAGGCCCCGAGGGAAGGGGTGTCAGAGGGCCTTCAAGGGGCTCCTTGACACAGGGAGGTCCCAGACAAACAGTCAAACCAAGACCCTTTGATATGCATTAGAGTATGTACATTCAGAGGGACAGCTGGGCCTGGGTGGGTGCAGATGCAGATGGAGCCATAGGTGTTGGGAGCTTGCCCTCCTCCTGCCAGGCTCACTCCACCTGTAGACAGAGGGACACCCTCCCAGCCCAGGCCCCCCGGCAGGTAATGTAGGGGCCTCACCTGCTCCTTGGGGCCCCTCCCAGCTCGACATTTCATTGGGGGTTCCCTTCAAACCCCTCGCAGGAGGACGCCCCAGGCAGTGGCCCCGCTGACCCCCCACCCCGCCCCAGCCCAGCTCTATGCCCACTCTTGCCACAGACGCCTTTGCCCAATGGTTCCCACCTAAGAACTCACACGGTCCATTTGGTTTAATCCTTCCACGATCCTTGAAGCAGGGCTGTGGTCTTCTACCCTAGAGCCTTGGAAAGGGGATAGAGCCTGGCCAGGCCTCACTCAAGGGAAGCGTGGAAAGGGCTGCGCTTTCCAAGGCCCCTGTGGACTAGGTTGGAGCACCTGCCTCTGTCCCTCCCGGATGGGCCTTGAGCACTGGGCCTGCTGCCTCTGGGGCTGCCACGGCCGCCTTGGGGTCAGGAGGCTCTTGGGTGTGGACGCTGCTCTGTGGTGGCACTTGAAGGAGGACGGCCATGTAATTGAACCAAGATGGCAGAGCCGGGCAGGTGCCAGATCCTACAGGAGGTCGGGAGGGGACAGTAAGCGCCCCCGGGGAAAGGCTCTTCTCTTTTGGTGACAAACACTCCTGGGACAAGCATGGGCACCTATCACTGTTCCACAGGCCTACAAATTGCTTCAAAATTAGGGGCATTTGTCCTGAGAATGTGTATTGCCCTTTTGCAGAGCACGAAGGCCTTGGGAAGTACAGAACGTTGCCCGGTGGGGCGGGCCTGGGCACGGCTGGGTGTCAGTGCTGACCCCAGCAATCGGAGTCAGGTAAAGATTTGGGTTGGGTTTCTTGAGGCCAGCCCAGGAGGGGCTGGGAGGGAGAGGGGCCAGCGACCCATGGGCCAGGGGGCTACTCATATGGAGCAGAAGAGCCCGGGTAGGGGTTTTCTCTCACCCCCAGGGGGTGCCGGCCTCATGCTCAGGTGCTGGGCGCTGAAGGTCGGTGGAAACTGCCCCTGAGGAGAATGCCCAGGGCCAAGCCAGGGGAGGTGAGCAGTCAGGACCTGGGATAGCTCAGTGCCAGTAAACCCATCATCATCCCCATTTTGTAGACAGGAAAACTGAGGCTTTAGCTTACCCAATTGCCAACTATTCCCAAGTGGAAGAGCTGGGATGCACCCCCAGGTCCTTCTGAGGAGGCTGTGGGCTTTGGCACAGTGCCCTCTGGGTCTGGCATCACCGCCAAGAGGAATTGGGAAGGCCAAGTGACCAGGCTCAGCACCTTGGGCCAAGGATGGGCTGCACGGCCCAGAGGGACCAACCCCTCTGGATCCAAGCCACACCAGGCCCGCTGCCCCCTGGGCTGCTGGGAATGCTCCCACCCTCACCTGGATAGCACAGCCTCACCCTCTGGATTTCAGTGGAAATTCCCTCTTTGGAGAAGCCCCCCTGACTTAGCCAGAGGCCACCTCTGCTCCCTGTGGTCTTGCCGGTCTCTGCCACATCACTTCCCGGTCTTGCCATCTGGCTCCTGTCTGGCTCCTGCACCAGATGTCAGGCCTGCCAGGCAAGACTACATCATCCTGGGGTCTCCACAGACCATCCCCTGGTCTCGAGCATCCTGGGGCCTCCAGAGCATCCCGGGGTCTCTAGGACATCCCAGTGTCTCCAGGACAACCCATGGTGTCCTGAACATCTCAAGGTCTGCAGAACATCCCGGGGTCTCCAGTGCAGACTATAGCCACTGACCTATGGAATCGACATGCTCCCCACTGTGGTTCCCCTTGCCACCTTTCACTCAGCATACGGAAAGGAAAAGAGGTCATACTCTCCTGAGCCCCC